TTCCCCGGCTGCCAGCTGCCTCCCAGCCCCTCTGCTGGGACACTCTTCATCACTGCCTGTCTGGGGGCATCTCACAGAGCCCAGGCCAGGAAGACCGCTCAAAAGAATTACTACCAGATCAGCACCCAGACTTTCCCTGTGCCTATGTCAAACACCTGCGTATCAGTACCAGCTTTTTGCCAGTCCCCACTTCAAGGAGATACCTCATCTGAAGGTTCAGTGCTGTTCCCATTGCCTCTAGGCCCATGTGTGCCCTTCCCCACCACCTGGCCGCGACTGCCTTGTCCCATGAAAGCCAGCACCGGGGGATGCAGCATGGCCCCAGCAGGTGGGTTGGATCCAGAAGTGGATCTGGGGCAGCGGTGAGGCCACTCACCCTGGCTGTGCACATCCTGGCCAACTTTCTGTGGAGGGTGGCTGGCAGAAACCGTATCCCTGGCTTGGTGGGCATCCCTCCAATGCTGGGCACAGAGAGGGAGCTGTTGCTGAAGAGGGACCCTCATCCCTGGGAGCCCCTTGCAGGCAGCAGAGGAATTCCCAGGATGGGTGGTGTTGCAGCCAGGATGAGCTGCAGGACACCGTGGGGCCATCCCCTCCGTATACCCCTTGCACTCGGGCAGTGAGGAAGGAGCTGCAGATGCCCCCGAGGTGTTGCTGCTCCCTGCTGATGCTCGCTGACCTCTGCCTGGTCATCCAGAGCAGCCCCGTTGCCTCTCTTGGAGTACTGCCACACAGCACTGTGTCCCACTGCCTGCTGTACCCACAGCTCTGCCCCGTTGCCCAGAAGACCTCTGGGCGATATAGCTCCGTGCTATAGCTCTATAGCTCCGTGCCCCACCGCTGAGGTCACCCACTGCATCCCACTGCCCACTGTATACCCGGCTCTCTGCCCCACTGCCCAGCTTATCCCCAGCACTGCTCCCCATTTCCCAGTTCACCCAAAGCAGTGCTTCCCATTGCCCATTTCACCCCAGCAGCAAGCCCCACTGCCTGCCTCACCCCGACAACACTGCACCCACTGCCCGTCCCACTGGCAGCCCTGTCTCTCTGCCCCTCTCACCCTAAATTGCTCCCCAGTGCCCACCTCACTGGCAGTGCTGTGTGCCAACTGCCCATGCCACCTACCTCACTGTCCTCTGAATGGCTTAGAGACAACGCTGCACCTCACTTTCTGCCACCTCGCAGCACTGCATTCCCTGCCCAGCTCCTGCTGCATGCTGCTCAGTGTGCTAACTGCGGGAATGCCATTCGTGAGCTGCCCTGCTTGAGCACTGGGTGTTTTGCAGCGGCTGTCACTCTGCTCTGTGACTGTTGTGCACGCAGTGTGCACTTGCTGTACATCCTCCCTGAATGCAGTGTGCATGCCTTGCACCACTATGTGTGTTTTACAGACTGTATGATAGGTGTTGCTGCTGACTGGGAAACCCTGGTGGGGTGTTGGGATGAACTGGGGCTGCGATCAACAACACCTTGTGCTGGTTTTGTGTTGTTGGCAGCATGTACAAGCTTTTGTACATGTCCTGAGTGCAGAGTGGTGGATACTTTTGATACTGAAGGGACAGCTCTACACTGCTGGTGGCCTAGTGGTGAGGCACAAGCTCTGTTTGACTGCAGACCCCAATTGCAAGCCCTGCTCTATCTTCCCAAGAAAAGGCTTCCCATATGACTGGGGTAACTGCCTGCCTTCAACCCAGTGGTCAAAATCCCTCACACAGTGCTAGGAGCTGCAATGGCTTGGCAAGATGCTAAAAGTCCCTGCAACACTGCAGTGGGGTCCTCCCAGGGGCTGAGGGATCCATGCCGGTGCTTCCCCACTGTAGACAGAGCTTTGCCAGGGCTCCATGGGGCAGAGGGAGCTGTGCCAGGGCTTCCTAAAGGTGGAGGGAGCCATGCCAGGGCTCCATGGGGCAGGGGGAGCTGTTCCAGGACTCCCCCAGGGGCACAGCAAGCTGTGCCAGGGCCTCCCCCTGAGGGGAGAAGCAGCTGAGTTAGGGCTCTTTTAGGGTAGAAGCAGCTGTGCCAATGCTCCCCCAGGGCAGAGGGAGCTGTGCCAGGACTCCTCCAGGGGCAGAGGGAGCTGTGCCAGTGCTTAACCAGGGGCAGAGGAAGCTGTGCCAGGTCTCCCCAGGGCAGAGGGAGCTGTGCCAGGGCTCCACGGGAAAGAGGATGCTGTGCCAGGACTCTCCCAGGACACAGGGAACTTTGCCAGTGCTCACCCAGAGGCAGAGAGAGTTATTCTGGGGTCCCCTGGGGAAGAGGGGAGCTATGCCAGGGTCCCCCAGAGCAGAAGGACCTGTGCTAGGGCTCCATGGGGCATGGGAGCTGTGCTGTGACCCCCCAGGGCAATTGGGTGTGGTGGCAGCAGGGCTCACCATGATATGCCCTGCAAAGGACCCTGCGGTGCCATCAGCTTCCAACCCATTGTCCATCTGGGCACTCTCTGCCTTTCCAGGCAGCCCCACATGCTGCTACTGCCCCCGGGGTACCCACCCTGGGTACCCTCAGTCCCGGTCTGATAGGAAAGGACTGACTGAGATGTCCAAGTGACTGCCCACAGACATCAGCGTGTTCACCGCTAGCAATGCCATCTGGGGTGCTCTCCACTTACCGACGCTGTGCGAAGGCAACTGTTGGTCTGCGGGGACCCACTGCGCCCTTCTGCCTGTGAGCCAGGGGACACCGAGAGGAGATAGTGGCTGTTGGGGGACGGCGGCAGGCTGATGTGCTGGGGGCTTTTTGCAGCCCCGAGTGGAGAGTGCTGGGGGGAGCACTGCGGGCTCAGGAATGTCGAGGAGGTGATGGTGCTTTGCCCCACAGGCTCCAAGCAGTGGCTATTTACAATGTGAGGCAGCTGCGGCACCCCACAGTTACTTAACTTATCTGAGCTGCTGGCTTGGCCTTTCAAGGCAGTTTGTTTGGATGCAAATGGACAGCTGGACACTGCATTTTCTTGCTTGATGGGGACACCAAAGAAATGCTGAGAGGGCTGCTGCTTCTCCTCAAGGCCATTGCTTCTCTTTCGCTTCTGGAGCTGCATCCGTAGCTCTTCTACCTGTCTCTGCTCTTGCTGCAGCTTCCACGTCAGTTCATTGATGACCTTCTGCTTCTCCACCAGCATCTTGTCTTTCTCTGTGTCGATCCCTTCCAGCTCCAGCTGGATGCTCCCTCCATTCATGCTGCTCATGAGGCTTTCTTCAGCACTGCCATGAACCGGAGATGGCTGGAGACCGAACTGTGGAGAAGACATGGGCCCATCATTGAATGTGTCTGGCAAAGAGCCGCTCACAGAGAGGTCGGAGGAGGCTGGAGAGATGGGTGGGGTGGAGCTGGTGCTGCCAAAGTGGTAGAAGCCATTTGATAACATGCTGGTGGAGGATTGTGACTGGTAACTTGACAGGGTGCTTGTCGGGGTGACTGGGAAGGTGACGGTGGTGATCTCACTGAAGTTTGGCACCGTGTTGCTGCTGCACTCCTGGAAGGGCCGCAGCCGTTCCATCAGTGCTGTTTTGGTACCCGACACAGGCAGGCCTCGTATTCGGAGCTGCTGCCTCAGTTCTGACACCTGGAAGAAAAGTCATGGATGATCAGTCCCAATGGCAGATGAGCCATTCGAAACCCAACATGTCTAACAGGGAGTCTCAGATCACAGGCTCCAAGCTCTCTGCTTTAAAGCTGTGACCCCCCAGGTGCTCACTGTCTCACCTGCAGTCACCAGAGTCACCATGCACAGCCCTGACCAGATCAGGTCCTGCAGGACCTCAACCTTTCCTAACAGGAAAACCTTCTTCCTCTACGAACTGTGGCTGCACTCCATGAACCAGCAGTGGTCCTTGGTCCACTGAAAAAAAATGAGATTCCCTTCCTAGTAGTAGGTTTCTACATGAGCAGAGGACTTTCGCACAGACCAGGAACTACCTGATGGCATCCTTTAGCTCAGAGAATGTGACTATGTACCTTGGAGCCAGGCACTCCACATTCAGGCATCTGCACATGGTTCAGGCATCTGAGCTGGGGCATCGGTATGGCCAAGCTCATGTTATTTATCTTTCACTTTATTTCTTTCTCTAATAATAAGTATTGCCCCCAGATCTGCTCCTGAAAGGACCTGGCCTCCCCCGTGGCTGAGGGTCCATTAGCAAAGTAGAAAAGAACTGTCAATGTCAGTGATTCTCCCTTATGCCCTGCCTGTCTTGCCTACATGGGAGATTTAGGTACTGTCCAAAGCAGTGCTCGTAGCTGCAGACTCCAGCAGATATCTCCTTGTGTGGAGAGCTGAGCTGGTCAGGCTGCAATGACCACTGAGAAGCTGAATCACTAAGTGGAGGCCATGCTGACCTCCTAGCTTCTGGCTGGTCTGCTAGCAGCATCCATGATGTCCACCATAAAACCACAGAAGGTGTGGAGACATGAGCTGCATGAGCAGCAGCACAGATCATCCTTTAGTCCTCAACCTGATGGCCTGGCCTGCAACCATCTCAAGTTATACCTAAGGTTTGCTGATACGTGCCCTGGAGCAATGCACCCATGCGCCATCTGCAGAGCAGCAAACCCAAGCTTTCAGTTACTGTCGCAGTGACCAATTCCTGACCCAGCATGATGTACTCATGGATTTGCTCACAGCATGATGGTTCTGGTTTGCTATCTGTAACAGGTGGTCACACCCAGCCAGCTCAGCCTGTGGCACTACACCGCACGCTTCAGGGATAGCAAAGCACATTCAGGCTATAAGATTCTGCTCCTGCAGTGACAAAGTTTGCACTCACTTTCAGATCATCCAGGTTAGATGGCAGAGGGCCTGGCTTGATAGATGAGACACAAGTCTGGCCTGAAAATGTGGTTTTCACAGGAGAAAGAGGGGTGTTGTTGACAGAAGTTGATGAAGAATTTGAACTTTTGACCATTTGCTCATTTGATTGCCTGAAATAACAAAGGAGATTTGGGGTAACTTATCTGCCCCCCCGGGGTCTCTGTGCCCCGTGTACCACCTCTCTGCTCCCTTGCTATCTCCTGTATGAGACCTGAAGGACCACCAACCACAAGGAAAAACAGGTTGGGTGGTAAGGAGATTGCTGGTGACCCACCAGCGGGTTGCAGGTGCCCAGGTCCCCCAGCCAGTACACAAAGCCAGAACAGCTTTGTGGGAGACTCTGCTGTGTTCCCAAGCTTTTAAGTTTGACTTGCATGCATCTATCCCCCTTGCACTGGCACAAATGGGTATGGGAGGGGAAAGTTTGGAGGCAGACAAGCCTAAACCCCTATATTGGCACATTGCCACTCACTTTAGTTGGCCTTGATGCATCCCTGGGTAGCTGAAGTGCTGCTGCTGCTGCTGCTGCTTCTGCTGCTGCTGCTGCTGCTGCTGCTGCTGCTGCTGACTGAGGATCTGGAGCTGTAGAAAGAGCTGCTGCTGCTGGAGGAGTCTGGCATATGCAGAGTCCATGGGTGGAGGGGACTTCTCTGCCTTCTGGTCCGGAGGGATGTACTGGTGATACTTCAGCTTCTTCACCTTGGGCTTGGTGTCCTTGGGCTTTTTGTGGCGGTTCTTGCTATCACTGGATGATTTGGACTGTTGGTCCAAGAAGGAAAAGAATTAGCAGGGAAAAGAGCTTCTGCCACCCCTGTAAGGACTCAGAGTCCTGGGACAGAGAGACTCAGAGTCCTGCTGGCACCATGACACTCCAGCTCCAAGAGCTGCTGAGCCTGCATGTGGGGGACTCCCTCAGGGCCATGTCTCATCTCAGTCATGCTGGAGAGCACTTGAGATGGAGAATGACCCTTCTTGCCTGGAAAGTATTTCAGTGTTGCCTTGTATCTCCTTCTGCTCCTAGCCCCAGGGGACATTTCCAGTGTAGGACCTGAGCAATCACCGCTCACAGGGTGTAATACTATACCTTATACCATTACAAAATGAGTCAAATCACAGTTTTTGACAAGGTTCATCTCCCTGAATTATTCCAAGCCTTAAAGCGAAACCCCCAAGCCTCCCACACACATGGGGTGCAGCACATGGGCACTTCACGCTTGAATACAGCCAGGTCCCGTGGGCTCGTTCCCTCTTCCCTGGGAGCCTGGAGGCACAGGCATTACCTTCACGGCTGAGGGCACCGGGAGGGGTGAGCTCTCCTGCCCAGCTGCCTGCTTAGGGCTGTCGCACTGGCTGCCCTGCCCCGAGGCCGGGTCTGGTGCATGGCCGTCGGCACCATGGGGGTGATCCTGCAAGGAAGAGGCAAGCTGTGTGATGGGAGAGGGGATGCGGGGCCAGTGCCAGGGGCTGGCCAGCCCAGATGGCCTCTGCCTGCAAGGGGCACCTGGTACCCCTTTGCCCCTGCCCCATGTTGTCCCCAGCCCCCCAGTCCATCCCAGATGCCTCTGCCCATCCCAGTCCCCCCATGTCTATCCCAGCCCACTATCCCTACTTCTCCCAGGCTATCC